CGGCTTCGACACGAGTTGTTCAAGTTCGAGTTGTTTCAGTTTTAGCTGGATCTCTAACTTATCTTTATCATGCAACCCCGATTGGCTAGTGGAGACACTAGAGTATTCCCATAATCATCGACTACGATTTAGATAATAAACTTTTTAGTTCATTTTTTCTCATTGCACTTTTAACTTTTAGTTCTAAAATTTTGGCAATTTTGAGCAATTTATTTTTATTAAACTTTTCTAGTTGTTCGAGGGAGGGTGATTCAATAAAATCTTGATAATCAGACATGATCAAATCTTGTTGGCACTGATAGATAGAAATTGAATTATGATTTAAATTTGAATTTAGATTAAATTTTATCTCTGATTCAGATCTCGGACACGAGCCCCCAATTTATTATGTTACATATCACAATTTGTAATAGCCTAAAACTGAGTTAAATTGTAATTTAGATTTAGTAGTTAAATAAATGGCGATATGGATCCAATTTATGATATTTGCCAATAAGATTGATACACACAGTTTTCTTTGTTTTATACAAATATATTTTAACATACAAACAATAATATAATTTACAATAACAGTTATTACAAACAGCTACTACAAACAATGATTTATATACAAAAGTTCCACAAACTTATAAGCAATACAAAGTCTTCATTCTAGTCTGGAACTTCCTTGATGTCTTATCGAAGGTTTAATGAGCGAGTAATTTCGAGTTGACGTAGGTACAATTCACTTAACAGGGAGCTAGCTAGCTCTGGATTCTTCGCCAATTTTTTCCACCGATGAAGTTAGGTAATGTTTTCGTAAAAGTACTGATGTCTAAAGTGAATCCACTGAAGTTAAATGGTTTGTAACGTTCGAACTTTATAAACGTTCCTGGTCAAATATCTTAAGTTTTCCGATTAATAAGCATTATAACAATCATAGTTATTGCTTCCGAAGTTTATAGCACACCAACTATAGCAAACCAATAATATGTACTGTTGTTTTGGCGCATCGCGTTGGTTA